GTTTTTTTGAGCTTCTAATTAAAATTTCTTTATGATACTTTATCACCAACTTGCTAAATGCACATCATGCATACACAGGAAAACAGTCACTAATTATAATTATTTTTGTATTCATCAGTAGCTCATACATATATGTACATAATAATAATTTTATATGCTCATGCCTTACAACTTTTATTTAACTAATTTTTTATTTAATCTTTTATCATTAGATCCTTTACAAGTGTGAGAAGCAGTTCCAGCGACAGGTACCCAATAATGCTCTAAAAGGCATATCAACTCTTGGGGACATTGTGTCATTCTTTCACACTCCTCTTGCCCCTCCCCCTGGCCTTCTCTTCCCTGATCTGAGAGACGAATCAAATCTACCACAGAATCTCTCAGTAGAACTGCCAAGTCAAGCAAAACCCAGAGAGAGGGTTCCATTTCAGAACTATGACAATCCTAAACACTCTCACTTTCCTAATAAGAAAGAACTCCAGAAGCAGTACCAAGCAAGATACAAAGGCAAAGGTGGGAAGAAGTAGATTAATAGTCTTGTACACTATTCAATGATATCCCATTGTGTATAATAATAATAATGATATTATATTGAAATAAAAATATTGATATACAAAAATAATTACATTTTCATTATGGTGGTGATAATAATAATAATAATAATAATAATATCTACACATAGACTATAATATATATATAAATAACGTCAGTCCTTTTGTTTTACTAAGAGTACTGGTGCTTCCAGGGCCTGGGAACAATCACCAAAGCATAATAGACAACAGCATCTTCTGGTATCAGTAACTCTGTGTGTGTGTGTGTGTGTGTGTGTGTGGGTATAGAAATAAGAGTAAAAGAACAATAATTAGAATTTGCACCCTTTAACACTGAATAGTGCTACATTGTTGAGACCAGAAGCACTTGTACCAACTCATTCCATAATACTGGTGCATCCAAACTTATTATTAACACACTATTCAATAAAACTACACAATACTTGGTACTATTAACAACTACCCATTCATCCTCCATTCATCTAAACTTTCTTATCATGTATCTGGTACAAACTGAATGCCTTTATATTATCAGTATGCTGCTGGGCAATGTCATACTTTTCTAGTGCCCTCCTGATTACACTATCAGTATGTTCTGTCTTCTCTATCTATAGTACAGTGGGAGTGAGATATAGATTAAACTGAGGTTACACAGTGTTATGATAACTGTGATAAAGAACATAGTAGGTGGTTTTTATAGGTACTATTATTATAATAAATTTTTACTTGCAACTGTTGCTCCTCTGGGATATTGATAGTAGTTTTAAATCACCACTAGTACTATCATCATCATCGTCGTCGTTCTTTGATAGTCTGGGGATGTCTCCAACTGCTATTATTAATAAACTGTATACAAAAAGGGGAAGGAGAGAGAGATGATAGGGAAAAAGAAGGGAAAGGGGAAAGAACTGATAGTAATTATGAGTCTATGTATGTTCCTTGTATTATATTACATTACTTTTATGTGAGTCATTATCAGTCATAATATAATTAGCATGTAGTATCTGTCTTATGCATAGTCTTATCATTGTACATGTTGTAGATAAACTACAGATGAGGCTTCTAAAATCAACTAACATTAACATCGAGTGTATATCCAGCCTAACACGAAACAGCTGTAGTTTATCTGGTTTGTACTACAGTGTGTGGGTGTATGAAAGGCACTGTCGTCTAACTACCAGAATTGGCAGTTAGATGATGGCTTCTAACTACTCCCCCCTCGAGCTACCCCTGCTGTGGTCTCCACTATATAAACTCTTGGTGGTGCCTTTGATACACCCACATACTATAGTACAATATTAGATAATTTATTGCTTGTATAATGTGCAGTAATAATACTATAAAGTCTACATGTAGTGGCCTCACTGGTCTGACATGACAACACATTACAATAACCATCATACAAGTACACCCAGGAAAACTGGCTTTATTGATGAAGACTCTTGGCAACACAATACCCTCAATGCTACACAAGATACAATGAGACTATTGTACTATCATAATACTATACTACATTGTAGATTTGTATAGTACATACTAGGAAATAAGGCTGCAGTGATATCATATATCATGAGAGTATAATTGGGTATTTTTCAGAAATTGGCAAAAATGCTTATAACTTGAAAAAATTATGTCGGAATCGGCTTAAACTTTCTTCATAGCATAAGGACATCAATATGTATTAGAAAATGTAATAAAAATTGGGGGTAATTTTTTAGCCAATTTTCGGAAAAAACCATGGGCTATAGTACAGGGTGTTTTTCAGATTTTGGCACATTTTAAAAAATGGCCATGACTTTAAAAATTAAAGTCAGAATCAGCTCAAACTTTCTACACAGCATAAGTACATCAATATGCATCAGAAAATGTAATAAAAATTGGGGGTGATTTTGGAGTCAATTTTTCCAGAAAAATCCACAGGCTAGCCCATGGAATTTTTCAAAAATTGGCACATCAAAAAATCCTTATAGCACAAAATTTAATAATGAAATCAATAGAGTATCATAACACAGACATCAGAATAAATTATTAAAGTAATTCCATTAAATTATGAATATTTATACAAATCCAATTATGACTAATATGAGCTAGACCTATGTAATAGAATGCAAGAAAAGACTTCTTCCTCCTCCAATACCTGGTACATA